ATGAAAATTATTTTTTTGGTTCCAACTGACAAAGCTTGTAACAATGCAGTGTTTGTTTGTAAGAATCATTATAACAACTGCATTTTAGAAGAACATTAATAGTATCATAACATATGACTTTTTATGCTTTATACAACCATTCTTCATGATAAATTAAAGAGCAGGCTTCTCGACATCATAGACAACTGCTGCCTCAATAAAACTGGTACTCATAAATTTTCATCTACAAAATTATTTTGTTTTTCATCTACAAAATTATTTTGTTAAAAATCAATCTGATCCTACAAACAAGTTCTCTGAAATTGACATTAAAAAGATGCTGGAGTTCCTCATTGAAATATATATGTAGTCTTTGGAGACCTGGTCTTCCAACAATCTGTTGGAAATCCAATGGACACTGGTTGTGCTCCTTTATTAGCCGCCTGTTTTTAAATTCCTATAAAGCAGAATACATGTATATTCAAAAATTTCTTCATGAGAAGAAGTAAACTATTGCTGTAGCTTCAACTCAACATTAAGATATATCGGTGACGTTTTATCAGTTTACAATTCATATGTCGACGCGATAAATTCCAGTGAATTCCAAATAAAAGACAATACACTGTTTCATATATGGATGTTTTATTGACTGTAGATGATAATGGCCAACTAATAACTAAACTGTATGACAAACGGAAGACTTCAGCTTTTCCGTCGTCAACTTTCCTTACTGACATAGCAATATTCCAACATCACCTACACATGGTGTTTATATCTCCCAACTGATTCGATACACAAAGGCATGCTCTGAACAATCGATTTTTAAATCGAGGCAAGCTACTGACAAATAAATTGATGTTACACGGATTTCAACAACCCCGTTTAAAATAAGCTTTTCGCAAATTCTACAGTCGTTATAATGATCTTGTTAGTAAATACAACCTATCATTGGGTCGTATTTTGCTTTTAAACTAAATTTGACCACGGAGTACTCCGTCTACCTGATCAATATAAAGGGCTCAAGTCGAGTAAGACCGGTCAGAATGGGAAGCTAACTCCTCCTAGGCACCTGATCCAACAACTGGTGTGTTTCCAGGGTCCTTGTTTTTGGCCTGTTCGTGATTCGTTTTGTTTGCAGGATTTATGAGATTGACCACTGTTCGTTATCTTCACCTTTTACTTTGAAGTTTACATATTGCAATAAAATCTTTAAGAAAAGAAAAAGATACCTTTTTTCTGAATACGTGTATAAGATTGCTAACATAAGAACTGTGTAATCCCAGAACTTTGCCAAAAGTGAAACATCTCACAAAAAAGTATCAAATCATATTGACTAATTTGGAAAGAATGAAAACTCTCGTTTGCGTATTTTTACTCGCAATGAATAATCGTTTTAAAAAAATGCCAGCTTTCAAAAGATTTTTCAAGTTATTTATTATAAACCTCATCTAAAATCATTTCACAAAATCCACTCAGCAGAAAGACGGTTAGAGTTATTAAGTGGTAAGACTTCCCATCCGGGAAAACGGGAATACATTTATTTCAGTACATGTATCTATTTAATATTATCCGGCATTATGAATAATTTACTGAAAATTGTTTCATTATATATATATATATATATATATATATATATATATATATATATATATATATATATATATATATATATATATATATATATATATATATATATATTATTTTCAGTGAAAAATGTTTCATTCCTATAGCAATTATAAAGTTAAAAATATCAAAATATCAGAGCATGATTCGAACACTTTCCGTTTAAAATTGAGCGTGTTGCCATTTTTTGTGTTAATCACAATAATTTCGCTCTTACTGTATTCAGGTGTTGTCAATTTTGTATGAAAATGGTAATAAACATACAAAAAGGGGAATTTGTGAGAAATTTATTGATTTTTTTTATCTGTCACTATGTAAGCATAGTTCGGCTTATCCCCCAGTTTCTTTGAATGTAAACTGAGAATGCTTAAATATCAATATGAGTAATACTGACTTTACTGATTATTAAAGAAAGATTTTTCAAAGGTTTTTACTATGTATGCCCATGTAAAACTTTGATCTCCTATCGTGGCCCGAACCTACAGGGGTCATTATTTGGACAAACTTGAATGTACACTACCTGAGGATGCTTCCATATTAATATGACTAATCGGGGTTTTGTTGTTCTTGAGTAGATTTTCAAAGATGTTTTCCCTATATATTCCTGTGTAAAACTTTGATCTCCAAATGTGGCCGACCATACCCCAGGGATAATGATTTGAACAAATTTGAATCTACACAACCTGGGGATACTTCCAAATTAAGATGACTAATCATATTAATGATTGCTGTTCTTAAGAAGACGAATTTTGAGATTTTTGAAAAATAATTTTCCTTTTCTTTATATTCATATAAAAATGTATGTATACTTAATATATATTTGATCGTCTAATGTGGCCCCTCCCTATCCTACCCTCGGAGGCCATGATTTTAAAGAGGCAAGCCTACCATTTGAACAACTCGAATCCCCTTTACTTAGCTTGCTGAGGATTCTTTGTGACAAGGTTGTTTGAAATTGGCCAAAAGGTTCTTGGGAAGAAGTCGAAAATGTGAAAAGTTTGCAGGACAGACCGGACAGAATTTGATCGGAAAGGCTCAACTTAGGTGAGCTAAAAAGTATTTGAATTTACCACTATAATGTGTCTATCAATGCTATTTATATTTTTCTCGCAATTAAATAAATTAGTAATCACGTGTATATAAGAATTTTTCCAAAACTAATTTCTAAGTGTCTTTCCAATAAACAGAATAAAAAAAATATAAATAAATCTCAGGCAAGTATTGAATTTCCTGTAATCTAGCCTTAGATTCCAATGCTCATTAGCACAATGTGATGTCTTGCAATGATAACACAAGCTTTTAACACTATGTATTATATAACAATTAAAATTGTTTGTTTGTTTATTGTTGTTTAACGTCCCTCTCGTTGTTTAACGTCCCTCTCGAGAATTTTTCTCTCACATGGAGACGCCACCACTTGCCGATGGAGAGCTGCAAATTTTGACCTATACTCGGCACTTTGGGCCATTGGGCAGTGAGGGATCTTTTTCGTGCCAGCACCTTCTGCGACACGGGACCTCGGTTTATACGGTCTCATCCGAAGGACCGGTCTCCACGTCCCACAGTGGGATTCGAACCCGCGACGTAAGGATCAATTCCTTACGCCGCGACTCTAGAGCAAACGCTCTAACCACTGCGCCACGCGGGCGACAACGAATAAAGTAAGCAGAAATACCGTATAATAAAACATGCAATTTTCTCCAATGCCTGGATACCTATAGTTATTTTTTTTATCCTGAAATATATCTGTTGATCAATTTCAGTTAGAAAATGCTTAGCTGGTTCTTTCATTCGCGTTTAAATATATTTGAATTTTGATAATTTTCCCTTTATAATAAGATTAACTAGAATGATGGACTTTATATAAATACAATGGGTATATACAAATTACTTTGTGAATTCAGAGACATTTTGGTGAGCATTTTAAATTTCTTAACTGCTTATTTTCAGAATTTTAGGATCAAACTACCTTAAAGACATTCATTGTATTTGCATGATTACAATTGTATCACTAAAGATAAAAACCTGAAGAATATATTGGAAGGTCATTTTTCGTGGTGAACTTTCATGAGGGTGAAACTTATTCAGGTTAAATGGACACATATGTCCACTTACTTTCCACTCAGCGTCGAGTAATAAAGAGGCCAATGGGCCACAACGCTCATCTGAGTCAGATAGCTGCCGTTCTTCATCAGCAGATTTTCCCCTAAATATATCTATGTAAATCTTTGATCAATATTGTGACCCAACCCTACCGATATGTCATGATTTAAACAAATTTAAACCAAAACTACCTTCCAAATAAATAAGACTAACCATGGTTTTTTTCTTGAGAAGAAGAATTTTAAAGATTTTCCTATGTGTTCCTATGTAAAACATTACCTATTGTGGCCCCACCCTAACCCCGTCGGCCATGATTTGAATAAACTTGAATCTACTTGAGAATATGACTAATCATGGCTTTGCTATTCTTGAAAAGAAGAATTCAAGGACTGTTTCCCTAAAACTTTTATCGCATATTATTACCCCTCTCCCCTCCCCTGGAAGGGGGGGGGGGTCATGATTTGATTAAACTTGAATCTACATTATGTACTGAAACTGTATGTTTCAACTTTTCTGATCCATTGGTTCTTTAGAAGATTTCCGAAAGTTGCCTTTAAATTTTCACTAATTCTTAATTGTCTGCCCCTTGAAAGACGACAGGGTCCTTCGTTTGAACAAATTTAAATACCTTCACCCAAAAATGCCCTGCGGCAAGTTTCGTTGAAATTGGCCTAGTGGTTCTTGAGAAGAGGTCGAAAATGTGAAAAGTTAACAGACGAAGGGACAGACAGATGGCGGACTCTTGCTTATCAAAAAAGCTCAGTTGAACAATTGGTTCAGGTGGGCTAAAAATGGCAAATAATTAATGGTGGACTCTGTATCACTCTGACCCACTGTTCTCTGGAAATTATTTTCTTTATCCTGATGAGAACCACAGAGACATAAATCATGCATGTGTACCAATTCCTGCTTTCACTTCAAAAATGTTTATTTCAGGAATTGCTTCCTGCCAACGGATTGTAATGAGTTACAGACGACTGAAACAGACGGTGACTAAGTAGCCGTCCATTCATATCAGCCGGGATAGAAAACAATTAAGAAATAACTTCCGGATGAGGAAACTGGAAACAGACGTAACATAGTTCTTTCTGAAGAGTGTTTCGTCTACAAAATAAAGTTTGCATATACTAAGGCTAATTATTTAATAGAAAAATAAACTGTGATTCGCCTTCATAATATAAGCCTAAGTACTCAAAATTACATTCTTTTAAAACATTATTATCAAATAGATATTGTTTTAGAATGAAAACATCCATTGTTCAAATCTCTGAGTTCCTCTTAAAGTAAATTAAGAGTTTGACGCCTGCTTTATTGGAGTGAGTACGGTAACTCCGGCGATTCGTCATGATTATGAGACCCACATGCGAAATACATTCAGTTGTTTGCCAGCATCATTTGGAGATACATCAAAACTTCCTCCTCCGCTCAGAGGTAAGTCTTGAAAGTTTTTTAATTTCATTCACATTCAATTTGCTTGATGCGTTAATTTATCTAACAATTATTCGTTATTCAACGTTAGAAGGATATTTGATATTTTGCTTTTCTTCTGAACTAAATTCCCTATTGAGAGAGAGAGAGAGAGAGAAAGAAAGAAAGAGAGAGAGTTGTTCTCTCTTACATTATTCGTAATCCAACGAGAATTTATGTCGACAAACCCTACAGTTACTTTTTATACTGTTTTTGGTGGAAATAATATCCTTAGTAATTTTGAAACTTTTTCTACTATGATATTTGCTGAAAAATAATACTGAAAACTTACAATAAAAGCTAGTATTTCAAAGCAATTGTGTAACCTATTTATTGTACTACTACATGTACATTATTTGTTTTGTTTTTTTTTTTGGCTTTAGCTTTCAAAGATGTAAATAATAATAACCCTTGTATTTGATAGACTGGTAATGATTCATTTCAACCCACGACTTCGCATTCTTGGCGAAGTGTTTCAAAATAACTTCTGGTGTAATGTATATCGTATTGCAGTTGAGTAAACATCGCTAATCACAAAACTTTTGTAAAACAAAACTTTTAAAAAATCACGTATACTTATTGCCAAAGACAATTACAATGAAAATGATATACATATTTAAAATGTAAATATCGTATTCACAACAGCCAAAAGCTAAAACATTAAGTTTAAGTTGTTCTGATTCATCCTCACCCCCCCCCCCCCTCCCCAAGTTCAAATTAGTAAATACTAATCTAGGGAATCGCCATGACGTTTGTTATGAAAGTCACTGTTCAAGTTGATTTTCACCCATATTCAGCGATTTTATTCTTCACGGCATCTACAGTGTATGGATTCATATCTAATACCGATACGATCCTGAGGAAGTGATTGAACTTCTGGTGTAAAGATAAATAATGACCCCCGTAGAATAATGACCGGGGACACTTTACGACGTAAAAATAACTCCTAGCCGTAGAAAAATGTGTTTATTTTGTAGACTAAGAACTTTCTACATGTGCCACCTATAGAAAATGACCTCTGTAGAAAAAAAAAGACCCCTACCCATAGCAAGAGAGTGATATAAAATTCGAGAGGGGGCGATTGATGCCTAGAATTTTAACAAGTTGTTAAGATAAAGTTAGCAACTTTATCGGGGGGTTTTCCTGACGAAAATGTAACGTGAAGCGGTCACCTATTCAAGGACTATACAGGCTCGACGTTGCTTAACTTGCTTGAAATTGAAGGGGACTTTACCGCATCACTAGAAAAGCTAGTTCAAACCCTCTTAAGAACAAAAACATTTTGTCAAATTAATGCATAAACATAGTGTAGATTGAGCTTGTCAATACATTCAATTTACTCAGCCAATGACCCGTGTGTCAATAGAAAGATTTGAAAAGGATAATAGCTCAACTCTTGTGGTTAATTTAGCTCAATTGAGCATTTTGGCCCAAGGATCTCTTAATTTATACATTTACATCATTACTATAACTATTATGCCCCCGTAATCGAAGATTCGGGGGCATATAATAGTTTTTTCCCTGTCCGTCCGTCTTTCTATCTGTCTCTCTGTCTGTCTGTTTGTCCGTAAAAACTAAACTTGGCCATAACTTTTGATTGGTTGGAGCTTTGGCTTTCATATTGCACATGTGTATTCCTTGTGACGACCTTTCTTTAGGTTTCAACATATTTGACCTCTTGACCTTGGACTTTGACACTTTCGCAAAATTTTACCACACTTTAACCTTGGCCATAACTTTTAAATGCTTGGTGCTAGGGCTTTCATACTTTACACGTGCTTTCCTTGTGACAAGACCTTTACTTGGGTACTAATATTTTTGACATTTGACCTTGACCTTGGAGTTTGTCCCACTTTACAAAAACTTTAACCCTGGCCATAACTTCTGAACGATTGGTACTAGGATTTTCATATTTCATATGTGTATTCATTGTAATAAGACCTTCCCTAGGGTACCAATAATTTTGACCATTTGACCTTGACCTTTGAGTTTGACCTACTTTTGAAAAACTGTAATCTTGGACATAACTTTTGAACGGTTGATACTAGGTCTTTCATATTTTGCATGTTTCCTCCATGTGACAGGACCTTCCATTGGGATCCAACAATTTTGATTTGTTTACCTTGACCTTGGGAATTTAACTTGCATTTGAGAAACTTTAACATTCGCCATGAGCTGCCATACGGGGGCATTTAATATTTAGTGTTTTACAAACACATCTTGTTTCATAAGAAGTGATAAGTTTGATATCTTTGCAACATTATTTACGTGACCAGATATATGTTTAACTTATATCCAACGCCTTACAAGTATGGTTTGGACATTATTTTTAAAAAATAGAAAAAATATACTTTGAAAAAAATACTTTCTTCATCAATATTGCAGGACTGGTTTCTAGTTGGTCAAAACATTCTATTGGTTGTTGTTGCTTTCGTCTGACCATCAAATTTGAAATCATATCCAAAATCAAACGAGAGGCCCATTTGCATTATCGTTCACCAAATTAACTTTGGTACTGCTGTCCTCAATCATCAGATTTTCCCCCGTATATGCCTATGTAAAACTTTGATCACATATTGGGGCCTCATCCTATTTCCTGGGGTCATGAATTAAAGAAATTTGATGTATAAAACCTAAAGATGCTTCAATATAAATATGACTAATCACGGCATTGTTGTTATTGATAAAAAGATTTTTTAAAAAAAAAAAAAAAAAGGTCTGTATATTTTGTAAAACTTTGATCACCCATTTTGGCCCCAACCTACCCCGGGGTCATGATTTGAACAAACTTCAGTCTACACTACCTGACGACGCTTTCATATAGAATGAATTATCTTGACTTTGCTTTTCTTCAGAAGAAGACTTTTAAATATCTTTTTAAATATATTCCTACATAAAATTGTAGCCCCACCCTGAGCGTGATTTGAACAAACTTTAATCTGCACTTCATGAGGATGCTTCCATATTAATATGGTGTAAATCATATACGGTACCAATTTTGTACTTGACTCTTCTTGCAAAGTTGGTTTTTAAGGGTTAATTTCTATATATTTCGATGTAAAACTTTGATCATCTATTGTGGATCTGCCCTACTGCTGGGGGTCATGATTTGAACAAATTTCAATCTAGACAATGTAATGAAGCTTTCATGTAAGTTTCATCTTTTCTAGTCCATGGATCTTTAAAAGATGGGATTAAATTTTTACTAAATCTTAATTATCTCCCCTTAAAAGAGGACCTGGCTCTTTATTCGAACAAAATTGAATCCCCTTTATTTAGGGATGCTTTGTGGCAAGTTTAGTTGAAACTAGTCCATCGGTTAGAAGAAGTCAAATATTTGAAAAGTTTACGACGACAACGACAGACAACGGGTGATCAGAAAAGCTTAATTGAGCCTACGGCTCAAGTGAGCAAAAAATTCGAAAAACAAGAACAAATATATATATATATATATATATATATATATATATATATATATATGATTTTTTATATCATTTCCCTCTTCCGCGCTTGCACTTGCATTTAAAGCGTATGAAGAATGCAGGCCATCTTAAACTTTGAAAACAAGAAAGCTTATGCATGTAACATTTCATCTCTCGAATCATCCCGGATGATTTCATTGTGATTTATAAAAGTTACTTAACCTTACGAATAATTTCAAACCTTTTTTATTGCTTGAACAGTTTAACAATTAATCATTCTTTTGTTTCGGAAGGATATAAACATAATTTGTAGCTATGTCTTGTTGATTGGAAACATTTACAGCATCTGGGCGACAAAAGAAATTCCATTAGCAGATTTCGAGAAAAAATGTCTGAGTAATTCTGTTAAGATTTTAGAAACAATTACTAAATGTATGATTGAGTATTCCTTTCATTTGCGAGAACAAACCTCCTCAACGCATTAGGTTGGTTATAATTGCGTGTACTCACATATAATCCTTTTTCATTTCCATTATTGGCTTCAGATATTTTTTTGATATAAAAGCAAGGATGGAACTGCACAAATTCATTAAGCCTGATGCTTATTAGTGTCTTTACATTTTTTTTTCACTGAGATCACAATGCAAAAAATGTCAATGCTTATTTGTGTAATAGTACATTTTGGATCCAAGATCAGGAATTGGGCATCACTTTCAAAATATCATGTAAATCCTTGGAATAATTATCAATTATACATTCCTTACATTATTCTAATTTTTTTTTCATTCATAATAAAAAAACGTTTTGAGGTAAATTGCAGTAATCCTTGTTCTAATTTGTGTATTAAAAGTCATGAAATGATATTTCATTTTAATCTTTAACATAAGATCCCCCCCCCCCTCCCCAAAAAATACATCTGAACACCAAATGTATTTATGCCAATTGTGATAAATGCATTATATTCATCACCGTCGTGTAATATTTTTCTAGAAGTTTAAGAAACGTTTGCGGGCCGTATTACCGGCGTTTTGCTTATATCAAAAACGATAGTCCTCAGAAAATTACATGTATCAATTTATTTGTCATAATGATATTTTGCACTATTTTCAGTTTATTCAAACCTTTCAATTATTCGTCGGTGAATGTAGACAATAATTGGGGGGGGGGGGGGGGGGTGAGAGACAGAAATGGTAGTAGTGTACATGATTGAGGGGGTCAGCAAAGACTATGGTTTCTTGAGATCAGATATAATTCTTAAGGGGAAGTCTAATATACGTCTGATCAAAGGGAATCAGAATCTTAACTCAGTAGTATACTTTTTGAGTGGTTCATAACTAATTGGTTCCTTTTTGGCAAAAGTTATGTCGATTTTAAAAATTGCAAAATGTAAAACCCTAAGAAAAAAAAGAAAAGAAAAGAGAAATTAATTAAATGGCACGTCTGGCGATCTCCATAACTAATTACACGTGGATAAAAAAAATGCTGGAATGTAAGGACAGCGGCGTTTATAGAAATACAGTGAGATATGAATAGGAACAAGCATTCTGGGAGTATTGCATTAGCAATACTAGTCCCCTACCGGCAAGTGTAATCTGGTTCCCGCAAACAATTGAAAATGCCATAATTCCGTCAAAAATCAATGAAGCGGGACGAAATGCAAATTTAATCTATAACTTATCAAGGTTAAGTCACATGCCAAAAATCAGCAAAATATCTGCAAGCGTTTAGAAAAAAATTGCGGAAAACCCTGAAAAATTGAAAAGGTCGTAATTCCGTCAAAAATCATTGAAGCGGAACGAAATGCAAACTTGATCTGTAACTCATCAAGATACACTCATATACCAAAAATCAGCTCAATATCTGCAAGCGTTTAGAAAAAAAAGTGCGGAAAACCAAGTGGGACAGACTGACAGACAGACAGACAGAGGGAAAGACAAACAGACGGACAGACATACAGACGGACGGACAGATTCAGAGGAAACGTATAGGCCCCTCCGGTTTCACCGGTAGGGGCCTAATAAAAAACGTTTCGCGCAACACAAAAGCAAGTCTAGCAATAAAACATGTGAACAGCCGGTTTTTTTTATAATATTATTGTTAAACACTTCTAGAGTTTTGACATGCAAGAAAGAACGTTATTAAGTGTTTTGGATACAACCGTTTACCATTACAATATATTGCATTGCATATCTCAACCCGTAACAGACAATAGATAACAAATAGATACTTATTTTTCTTTTATGTTTATTTATCTGACAATACATGTATTTATATTTTATTTCAGGGCCATGAAGCTCTTACTTTTATTATCCATTCTCTTGGCACTGTTCGTCTGCTTCCAGGCAGCGGAAGCTAGGGTAAGGTTGAGGACATTATCTGATATGTTTTGTTGATGTGGCTGATAAGATTCGCAGTAGAAAGTATAGAAACTTTATCAATTTAACAAAGCTGTGCCACAGTAAGTGATAAAATTTGATGTACTTTTTTTCTTATTAGAAATGAAGCAAAAAATAATAAATTACCGAATAGAAGTAAATCTACAAAATGCATGTCTGTGTGGGGGTCTTGCTTCGCCGATCGTGTAGATTCAAAAGAACTTGGAAGAAATGTCAAACTTACTAATTAAATTGTATATACATGTGTATTTGAAAAAGCATAGATTTACTATTATTTCTACTGCAAGTTTTAAACCTTGTGCGAAGTACAAACAGCAAATCCTGCAAATTCTATTCACCAAGACAACAAAACTACACACTAGATATCATTAGGAGGATAATAGGGGAGTATGATAAAAAGATAGAATGAAGTGACAGAAAACATGGTAAGCACCTACTGCTGTCAGCTCCAATCTCCTCCTGAATCCCACTCAAACGCACTTCTCAAAGATTCGCCTCTCAAAGCACTGCATCGACCCCTCGTGGTGTGACGATATATCAAAAGACTGTAAAAGAGCTATATAGTTAGCAGCAGATTTTTACAGTAAAAAAATATAATACTTAAAGTATTGAAAAAATTACAAAAAGTTTAAAAGAATAAGTAGTAAGTGCTGTTGATAAAAAAAAAGATAATAGAACATGTGTTATCCATTTTTTAAAAGTGCTATTTGCTTCTGAAAAAGAAAAACGAAACCCGACAAGAAGCATAATTTAATGAAAATTACACTACACAAAAGGAAGAGGAAATATGCAATGCGTTACTCATACAAAATGTGCCTTTGAAAATCAAATAAGTCGTGTATTTTTTAGGATAATCGGGATCGGCGAGATAGAAGAGAAATCGGTGATTACCCTGACGTAGAAGAGGAGGTATATAAATTGGCTCATATTTTTATTCTATTTATTTTAATTATTTATTCAATTTTCAATCAAGAAGACAAAAAAATAAAAAAAAAATTCAAAATAAAATAAAACTTTATTACAAGGGAGCCGATGAGGATGATGATGAAGAAGAAGCAAATGATGATACAGATGACGATCAGGGAAATGATAGCGACACACGAAATAGTAACACGATTTCGCAATTTATAACATAGTTAATGGGATAAACTTAACTTGTTGAAGATTTTGATATGTACTGACGGTTTATTAAAGAGTGAAACTTCGTCCATTACAGATCCCTGCGATAGTAAGTCGTGTAAAAGAGGTGAGGAATGTTATTTAGACAAAGGAAATAAAGCCAGATGTCGCTGTTTTCAACAGTGTACCCCTGAGCCTGACCCTAGGTACATGGTAAGTGTGAAACTCTGAAAAGTTGGCAAATATGTGAAGCTCAGTACAAAGACGCTAGAAATACTAGTAATATGAGAAGATAGTGTCGCCTTCATTTTAGATTCAGAGAGCAGTTAAATTACTTCTTCATGGGAAAACTATGTATAAAATGGTAAATCACCCAAATGAAAATAAAATTTTCAATAAAAGATAAACCAGTAGGTTATATTTGTTAAAGCCCCAATATTGTGTTAAAATGATTAAAAAAAAAAACTATGAATGAACAGGTGTGCAGCAACAAGAATCTGACCTTTGACAGCGAGTGTCACATGGACAGGGAGGTGTGCTGGTGTAGACGTAAACAGCCTCAGTGTGGAAACCCCCAGTTCAAGAATCTCCGACTGGATTACTACGGGGAGTGCAAAAGTAAGGCACTCGAGTTTAGTTGACTGCGTTTACAGTTATAAGTAAGCTGTCAGTAGGTAATGTTTTTATTACTTGTGAAGGAAAAGGTTAAAAATTAAGGGTAACAATCCAAGTTTTAGCATATAAATAAGCTTTCAAAACAAATTACCTTTCTTTTTCTAAAAAATAATCCAAACTGCGTGCAACATATCACTGTTTCTACGATTAGAATTTACCAGTTGGTAATTAAAATCAAGATATGTTGTATACGATATAGCCTTCTTACGACATCTTTTTTACCTTGCAGAAATAACGCCATGCGAGGATTTCGAAATGGAACAATTCCCGATACGTATGTCAAACTGGCTTTTCAAAGTGATGGAGGAATTGGTAATGTTATAGTTCTTACTGGTGTTCTCTAATATAATATAATGTTGATTAAAAAAAATCATTCATGTCATTTATTTTCGATCATAACATAGTACATCACGAAGAAAATCATTCATGTCATTAATTTCGATCATAATATAATACATCTATAGGGCAGAAGACATGAACTTGAGGAGGATTACATAGAAATGTTGAAATCTGCGGAGAAAGACGCAGAGCATGTGGACGCCGTCATTTGGAAATTCTGTGACCTTGACATCCATCCACAAGATCGGTAATGTTCCTCCCTAATCTATACAGATCGGTAATGTTCCTCCCTAATCTATACAGATCGGTAATGTTCCTCCCTAAACTATACAGATCGGTAATGTTCCTCCCTAAACTATACAGATCGGTAATGTTGCTTCCTAATCTATACAGATCGGCATTGTTCCTCCCTAATCTATAAAGATCGGTAATGTTCCTCCCTAATCTATACAGATCGGCATTGTTCCTCCCTAATCTATAAAGATCGGTTATGTTCCTCCCTAATCTATACTGATCGGTAATGTTCCTCCCTAATCTATACAAATAGGTAATGTTCCTCCCTAATCTATACAGATCGGTAATGTTCCTCCCTAATCTATACAAATCGGTAATTTTCCTTCCTTATTTAAAAAGATCGGTAATGTTCCTCCCTAATCTATACAAATCGGTAATGTTCCTTCCTTATTTAAAAAGATCGGTAATGTTCCTCCCTAATCTATACTGATCGGTAATGTTCCTCCCTACTTTATGAATTAAAACGAATACAACATTTGAAACACAGTTGTAGATTTACTAAAACTAGCATGAAAGCGCAAAATTTCATCTGAGTTCAATATTACACATATATATCGCCGCCTCGGGAAATAGTTTCCTCCCTTGGGGAACCATAAATTTGATATTTCTTGAGTATCCATTCCATAAATTCATATTAAGTATATATGTTGACCTTTCGCAACATTTTTTATTAAGCTTCATAAGAATTCATTTGCACCCTGAAAACATCTAAATATCTAGTTACACATGATAACAAATTACCAGTCTACAGCATATACTTATTATATACATTAAACATGTCAGATTGACAAAATGAATCCTACAATCTTAAATCAATGGTAACGACATAAAGCAACGATTCCTTACGAAGAAACCTAACCTTATTCTGAGATATTTGAAATCCCTTCAATGTTTTTGCATAGCTCATTTGTCTTGGACACTGAAAGCTGTGAATGATAATCACTCTTACATTTGAATGTGTCTTTGAGGTAAAATTTGTTAAATTTACTCTAGATTTGTAACTCGACGTGAGATGTTGTTTGTCATTGCCACTGTCAAACCCATGGAACACTGTTTGGCGCCATTCCTGGATCTCTGTGACGCCAACAAAGACAGGAAAATCAGTCTATACGAATGGGGGTCATGCCTTGGAATTAAACAGGGTATTCACGTTTATCTTTGAAAAATTGTTAAAATTTTGATATATTTAAGTAATGCATACTTTTTAGAGGTTATGGTTTAATAATAAAACTGGAAGCAAATGATGTGCACTCGGTTACAGAATCGTTCATTCCTATAATCTATGGTTTAATTCTTCTTGGTGTAAATAAACATTTAATACACATTTTATGTAAATACTATAGCATTTGTTTAAAGTGAAGTACAGAATCAACTAATTTAAAAAAAAATCTGATAAACACATGTATAAACAAATTAGACTCTAATTAACGCCATGCTCATAAACTTGGCTAATTTGGAGGCCTTAATCTCATGCCAACATGTTTTATCAATTGAATCCCACTGAAGGTCAAGTACCACAAAGAAGAAACTGCTGACTTTTCAATGCCACGGAAATAATTAGTTTTCCATTTATTTTCTAGGATCATAAAAATACAACCCAAATCAGCAGTTTTACCATGTATCCTCGAAAAGAGATACAACAACAAACTGAAAACTAGATTTAAAAGAGTCGAGGGTACTAGTGATATGGAAAAAGGGGGTTCAAATAAAAAAAAAATTAAAAATTGACAGGATTCGTTATTGTCGGTTGAAACACTTTAAATTACTACCTTGAATGTGGAACAATAATATAGTTTTGAATATCGTGAAGAAATGTTAACTTGGTTATTATATAACACCTTTTCTCTAAATTATGAACCCTTCTAATTTCTACGTGTGTATATATTCCATTTCAGGCGAGATACAGGACAAATGTAAAGCTGTTCACAAGAAAAACAGAAGAAGGCGATAAGTTGAACGACCTTAAAGAATGGAATTAAATTGCAGGCTAACTTATTTAAAGCAATATTGCACATTGTGATTAACTCATTTTATGGTGCAGGAGTGTCAACGATAAAAAAGGCATAGTTGACATATAATGAGTACTTTATATATTCCAGTCGTGCAGTGGGGTTGTTGAGGTTTTTTTCTATTGTAAGGATACGCTAAAATGTGTTAAACTTTAATTCCAGTCGATAGATAGGTTTTGCTTTCAGATCTTTCAGCGAAAATATTTTCTTATTGCAAAGAAATCATTAATGTTCCTGTTTTTATCTTTTACTTGATATGTAATGTATAGCTAACTTGTAATGTAAACGTCAATAAAATCTATAACTTATGGAGTTGGGTTACATTTGTCTGTAAAAGCATTTAAAATTCTTGTGGGACTCAGTACAATCGTCTACAGTGTAACTCACTTACAAAGATCTCGTTTATAAGGAAGTTATATCATATCATAAAACATGCTATATGGATATGAAGAATTCTGGATACAAGGAACTAAAAATCCATGTCCTTAGAACTTCCATAAGTATTACTATATAGAAATAATAAAGTTATATGATCTGTAACATTACCTTGTATATAGATGTATTCTTTCTACTTGGCCATATTCATGATGACCCCCCCCCCCCCCCCCCCTCAATATTAAAGACCACGTATTGCTGTACAGAAGAACTTCAACCATCTAGGCGTTTATAGAAACAATAGTCAATGGAAACATTGACCGCTATGAGTCCAGTTAACAATAGTGATTTGAAACATTAACCGCTGTGGAATCCAGTTAACAATATTAAATACTCAGTAAATATATTGATCGATGTGAAGTCCAGTTAATAATACACCCCTACCAATGTGTTCGGAACATTTTATTTTTCGGTGTTTTACAAATTATAAAATCCGAGGAGTTCCCAGTAGCTCTGGCGAGATCTAGCGAGACTACAACGAGATAAGGTAAATTATTCACGGAAATGTGGCTAGGAAGTGACTAGCACGTGGAGACATGGTAAACAGAAAAGCTATCTTGCGTTTCATTTTTCACCACTGAATAATATATGTAAAAATGTATTTCAATCTCTCTTGAGTTCATTCAAACGTCAATAAGTATTCTTCATTGCATTATTTTCTGCACTCATGTATTAAAATTTCTTTTTGGACAAACATGCTTGCATGTGAAATGGGACTATATTTTTTGGCGTCAGAGTACATGTAGCAAATGGGGTACCAATATAGTAATCTGAATGAGTTGAATTGCTTTGTGGGTTACTACGGATACTACAGGAATTTTACGCTTGGACAAAAAACCAAGGCGATCGAAAAGGCACATAGGACATTTTTTTCCCATGCATTTGCATGCTTTTCCATGCTGTCCATTTTTATTCTATTATTTCCATGCTCACAATTACAAACAATTCATTTGTAACACGTTTAATAAACGTGGAATTCTAGGTTTCTCAAAGTTATGCTGTAACCAAGGCGATTTTCGACTGCATTCCTTTGTTGTACTATCGGTGAATACAACTGTCAGGTGGGTTCCCTGACCAAAACAGATGATCAAGGGGATTGTAATATGAAAAAAAAACTTTGTTGTCCATTTAATTAACTGTTTTTAAATGCCTAAGGGCCCTGTCACACCAAGCTACCTCCACACGGAGTTATTACGGCGTTGTTAAATTTTTAAAATCGCAGTGGAATCGCAGGGAAATTGCAGAAAATTCTGTAAAATTTTCGCAATGTAAAGATGTCACGGCGACCCACTCGTTTCCGCGGTGTTCTCGCGGCATGCTACTGCGTTCCCACGTAGATCTCTTAGCGATTGACTGCGCTTCCGCGGAGCTTTCACGGCGTGTTAGGAGTTGTCAAGTCGCGTTCACGGCGTTCTCACTGTGCTGGCTGCGTTCACAATACGTTCACAATGCGTTCTTCACCATGGATATATATATTCAGAAGGAGTGTAACACTTTTTTTTTTCTTTTTTTAAAGATTCAAGTTACATGATGAAAAGACTTCTACTTATGCAAAGAAATATTCTTCAATTAAAAATAATCTTTTTGAATAATTCAGTACTAAATTATTGAAAGTTTTATTATTAAAACCCTTCTTTTTCAATTATATCAATTCTAATGTGTTTTTATCTTTCCTTTGATTTTATTATGAATGTAAAAAAAAAAATAAACACACGGAAAAGTTGTTATAAAATTTAAGTAATTCCACCGCAACTCCATTGAAACAACAGAACAAGTTCTGGTGTAAATTTTACTCCTCCTTTTTGACTGATGAGTGGATTTTTTTGTTTGCAAGAGAATTTATACTGTTTACCATAATAAAAATTTAACTGCATTTTATTGCACTGCACTTCAATGCAATGTAAGTAAGTAAGTAAATTTTATTTAAAGTCGGCATTTTTTACATAGTTTAACAATGAACACGAGCTCTGGAGAGCTCTTAAACCGACCATCACAGCTAAAAATATCACAGAGAAAACATTGACAACATAAATTAACATGCAAAAAACACATGTACATATATACACACGCATGGCAGATAAAACAAAGAATGAGTGCACTTTAGAGTGTCATTTGGAGCCTTTTTGGCCACCCATTTTAAGCCTTAAATTAGACTATATTGCTAAATTAATCTATGATTATTGTGCATACATATGCTCTTGATATTTATACTTCGAATTTTTTGTTAAACATATTGCTATAATTCCACACAACGTCATTGAAAAGAACATGTATAAGCCTTAAATTCCGGAAATTTGAACTGGACCACTTTCGAATTTAAGGTACCCGCAAATGGGCGGAGATATTTAAATCGCATGGAAGTGGAATGTAAACATTTGCACATTATTTCCAGATTGATTATACAGTATGAATTTAAATGGAAGAGAGAAAGATTGTGTAGTTTCATGATTCACATAAATAATAAATGATTCAGGGCCATACATATTGATCATTTTCATGATTCGTATCCATATGTTTGATGCCTAGCACCGAATTAGATCAATCTTAAGGATACACCAAAGGTTTCCAAATGCCAGAATTTAATTTGCATGTAATTCTTTCATTATCAACGATAACATGATAAAAGTATATATCATTTGAAAGCTTGTTAAATTTACTATTTAATTATCCTAATTTAAACTTAAATTAATAACTTATTCAAAAATTATTTAAATATTAATGTAATTCTTAGTGCTTAAATATTTTATAAATCAACTTTTTTGTATTTAACCCCTCAAAGTGGTCATTTTACCTCAAGGTAGATTAAAGATTGAACTTAAAAACCGTATCTCAGATTTTTGATAAATCTTCTAATTCAAAAGTTACAGCCATTTGCCCTTCAATGTTACCAATTTCTTGGCCTAATTTGACATTTCCCTCAGTAATTCCAAAACTATGCTAGATATCAAAAATCTGAGATACGGTTTCGTGAACACACATTTGAGAAGCAACCTATCCAATTTTCAGAGAAATTGGTCAATAAATAAGGGAGCTGAATCCTTTGAAATAATACCACAAACTGTCTGATCTTACTTTACAGTAGAGGGCAAAAACCCATTACACAACAAAATCTGCCAAAGCTAGGAATATAAGACACCTTGGAGATTCAGCTTTGGATACCTGTCACTTAGCCATATTTCCTATGCATATTCACAAGAATGGGAGGTTCTTTTCTGTATTTAGATGCTTTTGATTAAGTAAAATAGGTTCAATTCTGAATCAGAAAGATTTCCCGGCAAAATGGCAAGAGCTAAGCTCCACCTCCTATTTTATGGTCATCAGTGATCTGTTAGATCTCTTTCTCTAAATCTAGAGTCCCTGTAGTTTAATTACTGATAACCTCTGTGTGGCTAGTGAAGAATTCCCCAAGTGGTCACAGTGATTTATTGCGTCTTTCATGAGCAGGCAGTCACAGATCAAATCAGAAGCTTCAATAACGGAACATTCACATGTGGTAGTGTTTATGTTTCATTATTGTTAAATAATTAGAAAACCATTTCATAATTACCAAGAATTTTACATGCATTATAAAGCAGTGATTAACTTCTTTTTCTTGGCCAAAAATCTCAAAATTGTTGAAAATCTTGAAAAAAGCCTTTGGTGTATCCTTAAGTTTTCGTATATGATAAAAAATGCCCCCTCTTTTTTCTTTAGCTTTATCATTTTTCGTTTTATATGCTGAATGCTTTTCAATTCAAAGAATGAATGTATGTTTTAAGAAAGATTCACATGTACATGACTTAGATGTCACACTACATTTAATCATAATTCACTGTACATGTAGTACGTAGAGTATAATACTGACAAACGAGTAGTGAAACAAATTATACATGTATGTAGTACTCAATGGTGATACATATTTTATTATATGTATGTATAGATAAATAACATTCGGAAATGAAATATAAAATTTTAACTTAAAATTTGAGTCGCTAGGTTAACATGAAAACTCCAAGAAATACAAACTATCTGTAATTTAAATTAACATTTTATTGACGGAACAAGTATATTTCAGATTAAAAAACATGGTTAACGAAAATTCTACAACGTTACTATATCGATAATCACTCGCTTATGTCTTCAATATCTCTTTCATTTCGGCAATCCAAATATTGTCAGATATGATACTAGTGTTTAAGGATGTGTCTGTAGATGCTGCAGACCATAAGATCTAACACAGCTACATACTAATCGCGCACTGGCAATACCAGAATTTCCTTCAAAATATCATGCAAACGAAAAACACAATTTAGTGAAAGAAGACAAGGTAAACTTTAAGACCCTAATAAAATTTTCGCAAAATTCTTCATTATTTTGAAGTTGTTCAGGCCGGTACAAACGGTGAGATTTGTAGTCACTGTATAATACAAGTATTATATTTGTATTATAATACTTTCCTGTAAACACGTTTGTACGTTTTATTAGATTGTTAATAGACTTTAGGGATTTCTACTTGTTTCCCTCGAAATATTTCTCTCTTTCTCTCAATAATGGAAAACGAGGTTCTGTTAGCAGTATCTGTTATCGTATTATGCATTGCATTAAAACTGAGAAAACAACATTGTAATGGAAACAACATTGTAATGGAAACAGCGGCGGAACACTCGTATATGTACTTGGTGCACACAGTGCATCGCTAGGTGAGGTGCAAAGAGAAGACCCCAGTAGTTATAAAAACTTCTTTAGAATAGATAACGCTGCATTTGAGCAACTTTTACAATTACATGTAGTTACTCCTTTTGATCTTCTTCCCATAAAACAACGAGTTTTTCGATTTTTTTACTGCTAAAATCGACCATTATTTATACCACGTGCTTTTCTTTGTTATGATAAAA